AAAAAAAATGAAAAATGAATGAATTTAAAACAAAAAGCAGAAAACCAGTGAAAGGAGTGTTAATAATGCATTTTAATTGGACAAAAAGATGCAAAATATTATCATTTCAGTGTAAAATCCATATAAATAATTAAATCAATATGATTATTTTTGTTCTGTCATACTAATCTACTGAGTGTTAATTCTGACTCACAACAACTCTGTATGACAGAGAATGTCTCACAATTTTGTTTTGTTGTTTTTTTTTAAGGCTATGACTCTTCATGTACGTTAACTGCCTCTTCTCCTGTGAAGTATGGGTGAGAAGCATCAATTTCTCGTTCTGGTTAGCAGCTAAGTACTTAAAACCACAATGACACCAGAGCTCCATGCTTTGCTGCTAAGTTTTCAAAAACCTAATGCCTTTGAGCTGTGGTGCCAGAGCGAAGTCCTGAGTAGAACATGGATTGCTAGGAGAATAAACAGGTTCATCCTGGAGAGGGTGAAAACAGGCTGCTCCTTGGAAGCAAGGATTCTGAAGTTCAATCTGACATACTTTGGACTTGCTACCTCCTCACTTTGTTCAGGTCACAGTGGCTTATGGTCACTCGCCTTAGTGTGAAGTGTCTTGGTTCAGTACAAACTCTACCCAGCATTCCTAGCCCTGTTTGTGTTCTTTTTCCGTAAGGCACTTAATTTACTCTCTCCTATTCCTCATTTATACTTATTTATCTGTTTATGGTCTTTCTCCCCCTGCTAGAACAGGGCCTTTGTTTGGTGTACAATAGCTTATACTCTGAACTCCGTGAATATTTGCACTATTTCCTTTAAATGAACACAAAGGAAAAAATAAAACAGTACCACAATTTAAGCTTGTCAAATCCCCAATCCCCAAATAGTGCTGTCAATAGCTAATAGTGTTGCCACTTTAGTAAATCTGATTTTGTTAATTTTCTGTGAAAACATTGAAGTAAAAACATTGTACTATTAACTTGATTTCCCTGGTAATTACCTTTTCCATGCTGAATTTATTTAGGATTTCTATGAAACAAACTTCAAGGCAATTAAACTGTTTTGGAGACGTGTTCTTGAATTCTAATCTAAAACTCGGTACTCTATAAGAACAAGCTCTTACTATGGGGCTTATCTGAAAGCAATTTTTTTCTATATAGAAAGGCACAACTTACAAGGATAGGGATAAATAACACTGATTTCTAGGAACTTTATATTATAGCTCATAGTCCCCAGTCCACTTAACCTTAGAAAAAGTTAATTATTAAGATAGAAAAACATGTTCCTTTTAGGAGGTATTTTTTGCTGTAGACGAAAGGGCTGATTGATTTTTGCCTATATGACCTCTCATCTCCTATCCTAGAGAAATGACAGATCCTAAGATTGCACATCAGAACTTTTTGACATAAAACTCACATAAAATATTATGCAAAATACTCAAATATTTTCCTTATTCGAGTGGGGTCTGTTTTCTGTTTTCTTTTTAACTACTGGTATAGTAGGTGACATTCCTCTAGATCATATAGCTCTGGTGTACAAGTTGCTGTGAGGCTGAACACTGTGACACTGATGTGTCAAATGCGTTAATGGTTGGCTACCCAATGCGGACAGAAAGTGGGGTGGAGCTCCCCGATTAAAACAAGCTTGGAAGGAGGAGTGGCATCCACTTCCATAAAAGCTTGCCTCCAGAAATCCTATGAACCTGGAGAGAGGATGAAAGGCACCCAAGCGTCGAGGACTCTCCTTCACAGGGTCGCTATGAGTCGTCTGCGACTTCGAGGACACTTAACAACAAAAACAACAACGTGTGTACTTACACTACATTTCAAATCAGCCCCCTTTCAAACATTAAATAGCCACATGAGGTTGAATTCCTACTATGGACAGCAACAAGGCAACAAATTAGGCATTTTAACATTTTCTCAAAAACAACAGAAATACATCAAGGCCTAATAGTTGCAGCAACACCCTTGTTTTCATTTCTGAAGACTTTCTGTCAAAACCTCAACCAGTACCTTGTGTTATATACTGTGCTCTCCTTACAGCCAAGCAGAAAGGGCACGCTTAAGCAACAAGATGGGACAAGTACTTGAAAATTTCATCAGAAAAAGCAACATACCTTATTGAGAAAGATTTGTCCATGAGTTTTCCAGTCGCTGGATCTATAAATGCTAGTTTGAGACAACAGAGAGTAGGAGGCCCAACTTCATACCGTATTCCAACTATTTTCACCAATTCTTGATCCTTTAAAACATATTTTTATAAAAAATATTAAAAAAAAAAAAAACAAATACGAAGGACTAAAAGGTTTAAACTACGTCAATGAACCTGTATTAGCAGCTGAAGGGTTTAAAAGAAACTAAAATCATGGTTACTTGCTTAAATATGTGATTATTCTCTTTATATTAAAAATCAACACAATAAACTAATTAAAAATTGAACACAATTGATTAAGTATGGAAAGGTAAAGTTATTTAGTTTTATTTTGTTACATATAAGGATATATCTTCTTTCCTTTACTATTCTGTTAAAATCTGAACTAGCCTGAACATATATTTTTAAGATTACAAACCTAAGCAGTCAAGCTGATTTCCAGTATTGTTCCACTTAACTTTTCCCGTGCTAATCAGCAGTACACAAAGATGTCTAACTCACTGCTGAACATGCAGTGAGCTTTCAGAGGCTGTAACTCAAACAGGAGACTTCCCATGGCCTGCCATTGAGTTGACAGCAAAAACACCCTGCTGATTCAAGGACACCAGAGTTCCTCGTAAAGCTTAGAAATTAATAGGGGATGGGGAGGAGGAATACACAAAACAAAGCATTCAGTAGGAAATTAATTTAAATGTAGTCAATAAAATATGTCAGTATACTTTCACATGGAATAATAAATAATTTACCTCTCTCTTTCTGTGTGTGCTAAATGGTTTAATGATTTAATATTATCATCTTACCCTGAGATCCATTTTTCTCCATGGCTCCTTATTAGGGTTCAGTTCATAAATCTTATTTCTCCTGACTGCCTCAATATAAGCTTCATGGCCCTGTCGAAAATAAATTACCTACAAAATATATTACCACAAAAGAAAAACATAGAGAAATTATTAAAAAACTGGTGAGATTATTTAAATTGAATGTATACTTATATCCAATTTTTAAACTGTATTACTCTCACCTCATCACCCATCTGAGGAACAAAAGGAGATTTTCGAAGTGTGGTGTCAGTTATCCAAACTGGAGGATGAAACTCAGACAAATGTTCTGTGTTTGCAATCTCTGCCGGAGACATCCTTTGCAGATTCTGTCAAGAGGAAGAAAATGCTGTCAATACAATAATACAGGACAATATACACTTATTTGAAAAACAAAGGAAATTTCACATACCAAAATGACATACACACATAATGGTTAATTCTTAAACTCTATACTATATACACTTGGTCACTTAACGTACAAAGGAACATAATACATATTTTTTAATGCATACTAACTTTCAAAGGCAGTATAAATCAACTTATCATTTTCTCAACATTGTTCACCAAATGTTTAACAGCTTTATCTTTCTCCTTTAAAAATGTCCACAACTGTTCAATCTTCTTTAGTTCATAAAGAAGTAAAGCTTAATTCAATGGCTCATATCTGATAAAAAAACTAAAGCAATGATATCTAACTATTGAAAATTGGGAACACCACGCCAGCCTGAGAGATGGAAGTTCAACCACACACAGGACAGGAGCAACCGACCACCGCCAGCTTCTAAGAGACCTGGGAGGAGCAACAGGCTGCCAGCCACCTCGGAACTCCAGAGGAGCGAACACCACCTACCGTGTGACCCCAGAGGAACAATGACTACCGCCACTGTGTGACACTCCCTGCAGCCCGCACCTGCGTGACTCCAGCACACAGGGTGCCGCTGCATAAATCCCCAGCAGCGCCCAAGTCCCGCCACGTGCCTCCTGGTGGCAGTGTCCAAGCCCTGTGCTCCTGTACCCCCCACAGTCCCGTGCTTCTTTCCCCTTATCTCGGCCACCCCTTTACAGCTCCACAACCACGCACCTCAGCCACTGCCAAAGCCCTGTGACCTCAGGGCACCACCACGGATCCAGCCATCACCCAGAGCTATCAGCCGAGCTGCTGCTAAACTAATCTGGCAGGAGAAAGGCTGGTACGATCCTGACTGGGTTTACCGGGACATTGCTGATTACGTGGGAGAGCACCTAAAGGCGTGCCCACTGGTGGGGAATTTGGCCATGCAATCTTGGGCTACACTAACTGGCCAGAAACGAGCCAGCCACTGGCTGGCTTCTGTGGACTCTACAGACCAGCCAGAGGCTAGTGTGTCAGTGGGAATTTGATCTTGAGTTTTCGGATCCTGTTGGATCCACGCCAGAGCATACAGGTCTGGGCAATCAATTTGCCTTTAATCGGGAGCACCTTGGCATGTCTTACCAACAAGACACTGCCTTTGCAGGCTCTGAACTGACATTTCTCTGAAGCAAGAAGTTTAGAGAAACGCACAAGTTCTGTAGCTGCCCAACTGATCTCAAGAACATTGTCTTCAGATAAAGAACATAACAATGTCTCGAAGAATGCAAACTATGCCACACAATACACAAGAGCAAGGCAAGCTATCACTCACAAAGGGTGACACAGTATCACTGGAATCCCTGAAACAAAAAAGTCTGATGGAACTTTCTGGCACAGAACTTAAAAAGAGGAGTGACTGAATATATCCAATGAATGAAAGACAAACTTGATGAATTACAGGACACTACAAGCAAAAAACCAGGAAGAGCGGGGGAAAAAAAACCAATGCAGAACATTACAGAGAAAACAAATGAGGCATTAGCGGCACTGAAAAAACAAAAATCCACTATTCAAAATTTAAGGGCCAATGTTTCAGATGCTGTCAACATGATTGAAGGACATATGAGCAGAGTTGATGAGATGGTACACAGAATCAGTGAAATTGAAGACAAAATTGTCACCAGTGGTCTGCTAGAGCAAAAAGTAGACGCAAAAATGAAGGAAAAAGAAGAAAACCTAAGAATAATGTGGGACACATCAAGAGAAATACCGTGTGCACCATTGGAGTCCCAGAAAAGGAAGAAGCAAGTAAAGGCACTGAAAAAGTTGTGGAAGAATTACTACAGGAAAACTTCCCAGACATCATGAAGAATGAGAGAATATGCATTCAGGAAGCTCAGCAAACACCATATAGTTGTTTGTTGTGGTGGTTGTTGTTGTTATGTGCCGTCAAGTCACTTCCAACTCATAGTGACCCTATGTACAACAGGCCTAAACTCTGCTCTGTCCTGTGCCAATCACACTGTCTATGACACGCCCATCCCAATTTTCCGAGTTGCTGAATCAATCCACCTCATAGAGGGCCTTCCCCTCCTGTGCTATCCCTCCACCCTCCAAACATGATGTCCCTCTCTAAGGACCGGTCTCTCCTCACAACATGTCCAAAGTATGTTAGACAAGGCCTCAGAACACTTGCCTCCAATAAGCCACCCAGTTTAACCCTTTCCAGGACAAATCAATTTGTTTTCCTAGCAGTCCATGGTATTCTCAATACTCTTCTCCAGCACCACAGCTCAAAGGCATCAATTCTCCGATCCTCCTAGGTCACTGTCCAACTCTCTGATGCATAACAAGTGATTGCGAAGACCATGGGCTGTACCAGATGCACCTTAGTCTCCAGACAGACACCATTGCTCTTCAGTACTTTGGAGAAGTTCCTAACAGTAGACTTTCCCATGGCAATGCACCTTTTAATTTCCTGGCTGCTGGTGCCAAGACTGTTGACTGTGGAACCAAGCAAACGAAAGCTGTGCACAATTTTAATCTCTTCACCATCCATCCTGATGCTGCCAATTGGTCCAGTGGTGAGAATCTTTGTCTTCTTGACATTGAGCCTCAATCCATATTGGAGGCGACAGTCCTTGAACCTCTGCAGCAGGTCCTCTTCAGTTTCAGCAAGCAGGGTTGTGTCACCTGCATAACGCATATTGTTGATAAATCATTCACCGATCTTGACCCCACATTTCTCCTCATAGAGCCCAGCCTCCCGGATAATCTGTTCTGCATATACGTTGAAAAGTTATGGAGATAGGATGCATCCCTGGCATACTCCCTT